AAGTAACCAATTTTGAAGCAATAAGGGGTATTAGTTAAGATTTCGGCAGTATGCCTGATCATTGCTGGACTCATACTACTGAAAATCGCAAGTACTACTGTTCCTAAAATATAAATGAAAATTTCATTACTACAAGGACGATATAGTGTGAGAAACTATATAATTATCATAAATTTTATGACGATAAGTATTATTAACACCGGCATACGAGATCCGTCTGACCATTGTTTGATCACTTCTACTGAAAAATATCAAATACTGTTACTACTCAAAAATTAGTGCAAAATTTCGCTACTATAGCAACGATATAATATAAAAAACATCACAGAAGATCCACTACATAAGATAATCTTTTAGGAGCATTGTTTTGTTCTCCTGGTTTTTGTCTGATCTTTAGGTCACCCGAAACTTTTGTGTAACCTTATCTGATCAACGAAGAAGACGACCAAGTCCAGCACGTATTACCATCATCCTATCGAGTTACAAAGTAAAATAACATTATACAAGGCTCTTTAACAAAGTTTATTCTTTGTGAAACGGAATATTAATGAAATAATTCCAAGAAACAGAACAGAGCCTCGATTTCTTTCTGGTGCTTCAATTCGTCAAGGCAAAATGGAATCATTTGGTAGTGATCTGGTTTATTTCGAATGTATATACTCAGTGGTAGCCACACCTTCCCCTCCGCTGGCTTAGACTGCCATTTTCTTTAGAGGAACGCCGAGGATGCTCGAGGGTGTACACGAGACAGCTCGATTGTGTCAAGTTACAGGTAGCGATCGATTCTGTGGGTATTCAGGTAAAGCGAGCGGGAACGAGGACCTTGTCCTTGTCCATTCAGCTGACTGACTAAGAGTTTCGAAAACGACCCTGCCGTTGCACCAAATATACTCGTGGCTCTATTGCGATCGTATCTCGAGTCATGCGAGTGCATTTCGAATGAAAACACAGTTAAACGCATTCCATTGTTTCTTTCAGAGCGAATCATTGGTTCGATCGAGGTCGGCTTTCTATCGGTTCGTTCATTGAATTTTAAACTTTGATTCGTTCCAATCGTCGTACGAGTACCAGTCGCTAAGGGAATAGCGAGGCCAAAGTATACCCTATGGTCCAATTGCTACACATACAGGATATCGTGTAACAATTGAAAAAAAATTGAACTTCTACATGGGAAAAAATTAAGACATAGAATTTGAATTGTTCCCCCAAGATAGATTATGCAATTTTATTCTGTCCGTACATTTTTAAACGTGCAAGTAATTATTACCAGGAACGATATGTTAAGGCACGATTCTTTTACCTTTATTCAACCGCCCACGGTGCACAGGTGAAACTACGCGCAGAGAAGGAAATATGCCAACAAAGAGTGACAGCGTGGGTAGTAGAATGAAGGGAAGTTAAGGGTGCAGAGGGGGTGGGAAAGAAAGAGAAAGAGAGAGAGGAAAAAAGAGCATAGAAATGAGATAGAGGGTGAAAGAGAAGCAAGGAAAGAGGGATCGTTGGTTGGCCGGGGTAAGAGGAGATAGAAAAGGGAGGAAGGAGTAGATGTGGTGGCGGAGAGAGGGGCAGATTTGACCCTGCTTGTGCACCTGGATAGGAGGCTGTAATCAATACCACAGAAAGCGCGCGCTGCGCCTGGCTCACCCCTTATCCATCCGCCTACCGATACCTGAATAACAGACGTACAGGTTCTAATAGGTCATCCCACAACGCATATGCAATGCATTTTTCCCGACAATACCTTTCCATCGGTGGTCAAGTTCATTTAGTGTCGTTAGTTAGGCTATACATTCTGATGTATAAGTCTTTGAATTTTTATTCATTCAGTTAAATTTGCAAAATTGGGACTTAGAAATTATGTCAACCATCCACCTGCATTATGCTTTCCTATAGATATTAAGAATTCGTCCGGAGAGTCGGCGACGCACGGGTCTTAGGCTCTACCCTCTGAGACCATGTAAGGGTTAATCCGAATACATATTTTATTTTATTTTATGAAAAAATTAATGCAATTCGTTGGTAAAACTTGTCTACAATGTCCCGTTTGGGGCGTTGGTCCTACTGCTGCTAGATATTCAAACACTCTATTCCACCTCTTTGATTCTTCAATGGGAATTTCAATGTATCGCGTCGCTGGTTGCTAAGCGGATAAACCATTGAACATGACGCTTGCACCGTTGCTGTTACACGTTGAAACTACTTTTATGTCGGGCTTTATGTCACCGAGTGAAGTAAGGAAAGAGCAGAGAGGTGTTAATAAATTTTTACACTGTGAACCATCTTCCAAAGAAGTTTTAATCGTGAAGTAGGGTCTTTGTTCGGAGCTCAAAGACGATTGTCATTCTTTCGTTCTCCTCTGAGATTTTCTTTCTTTTCATCAATTTCTTCTTTCGGTGTAACCGACTGAATTTTTCTTTCGTTTGAAAATTTGGCAAATTATTGAAACGAAGAAATCGTGTATCTCGTTGGTACTTAACGAATGGACCAGTGAATCACCGGTCGAAGACAAATCGAAAGGTTTAGGAGAGCTCGGTAGGGATGGAAACGGATAATCGCGAAGATCGGCTGGGGCCAAACCGCAGGTGGTCTAATTGCAAGCAGCCTTGGCTTCGGTAATCGAGGGGTGGCAATGTCACATTACACGTGTAGATAATGCATCGTTCATGCAAATTCGTATGTCGCGTGTCTAACGTTTATCCTTCAACAAACTTGATTCAGAATGGTTTCTAACGACCGCCTACATATCAAGCTTTGTAACTCTGTCAGGAATAATTGGACTGTAGCCATTCGAGGCTCCGTTCATCGTGCGTAGGAAAATGAATTATCCTACACCCTTCGATGGAAATGAAAGCGTTAAACTAATATTCTTTTCAACATCAGCAATTTACCACAATAATCTACTAATGACTCTATCAATTTACCTCGTTACTCACTTTTGTCTCTCCAAGGCAGACTTCTTCATCGTTCAGAGATGGAACGCTGAAAATTTCAATATCCCACGGCATTCTCCATTAGTTGGATATTAATTCACAGACATCGAAAATGCCATCGAGGTTTACGGTCGATAATTTATTTTCTGATTATAGATACAATATACATCGTAGGCTAGACGAAACACTTATTAAGTATATTTTTAGCCTATCTATGAGTGGTACGGCGTGTCTGAAACGCAAACGTTATGTTAGATGTAAAACAGAGGACAGTCATTTTCGTGTTGATCGCCGTGCCTTAGGTTTCACAGTCGAATAATGATGTTGGAACTTAAAACGATATAGATTTACAAGTGTTGTTTCACGTATCATTTATCATTTCGTTACACTCGAGTGAGCGATCTCGTTCGAAATTGCGATAGGGGCAGATCCAAAGAGGGTTAATACAAAAAACGAAAAATTAAAATGATCTGTTGAACTGATTAACACCCTGTATTTGGATCTGCCCCTAGGATGAAGTAATTCGACAGTATTTACACGCGTACACATTCGCTCTCTCTTTTACTCTCCTTTGAATGCGGCTCACGTCGAATGAACTGGCAGCCGGACGAAATTCATACAATGCGGTCGTTCTTTATTCGATTTATTGGCTATTCAAGGGTGTACACGCAGTGGTCAACCTGTCTGTATTGTCGCAACGCGAGGCTGGGGTGCGCGTTACAAAGGCGGCACGTGGTTCCACGTTTTCATCCGATTTTACTCTGCTTTTGCTGATCGAAATGATTTCGCATCGTTGACAAGATCAAAAGATAAACACGCGAAAGAGACGCACAATGACGGGTCAATAAAATCCATTGAACGTAAACGCAGTGATGAAAGTCGGGAATAAATCAGCCAACGAAATGCGAGAGGATTAATGTTCACCGATGAATGTGACGATTCATCGGCGCCGCTTTAACGTCGATACATGAATGTTCACCAATGGAATACTGATGGATGGCTATTGCCATTACGGCCGATTAATAGAGAATAGAATAATGCGTATCCTTCTGTTACCAGTCGTACTTGGCTAGGATCGATGACTCTCATTAGTCTCGTTTGTTAACGATCCACGGCAGTGTTAACGGGACGATTGATTTCGCTCGATCAAAAGATAATAACGTTAGAAAACATCTTCGACAATCGAGGACGCGATTACAGTGTAAAAGGGTGTTCGAAAAAGTTTTGTGCAACTGGGTCCAGTTTCTTTAGTAACGTCTATTAAATAGAAACTGACTTTTCCATCTCCTCTACTTTCTCTTCGCCTTTTTTTTCTCTTTATTTTTCACTTTGTTCCCGTTCATTCGATTTTCCAGCTATAAAACGACCGACACGATTGAACGAATCAAGTCCGTCTCATCTTACCTTTACACAATCTTCTCAATCAAGCACCTCTTAATTCTTCGAATAAACTTCACGACTACGCCACGTTCTCCTCTATTTTACTTACATATTCACAATTATAACTTCGTGAAAAGTCGGAGAAAAAGCGTCGCGGATTCGCGGAGAAAACTTTACAGTACCGTTTAGTTTTCCTTTCATCCTGGAATGAGTCGTTTTACATTCTCAGAATCGACGAAACTTTTTCTCGAACCCGCTCTGATTCAATCCCCTTGTTCCTTCCTTTCTACCCTCTTTTCACGCGCAAAATATCTGCTTTAATCACTATTTACACGCGCTTATTCGTTTTTCCTCTCGCGTGTACAGCGATTGTTCGTCACAGAAAGCTTGTAATGGTTCACAAGAGTAAGTTTTAAAACAAGAAGATGAAAATTAGGATGGCAAACGATGAAACTTAAGGAGTAATATATTTTTTGAATACGTTTCCGCAAAAGTATACGGTCAATCTCAGTTCCTTTCTGTACATTTGAAAATCCAGCCACGTTGTGACGAACACGCTTACTCGCTCATTCGCGTTCATTCACACGCAAAGAAACGATCTGCGTACAGGTAAATGTATTCACAGTTCTTCCGTTCATTCGTCAGCCGTGAGACGCGATACGATTGCAATTAACTGCCTTTCCTTCTTCATTTTTTTTTTTTTTTTTTTTTACACTGACTAGGCGATAACGTTACAACGACAGTAATGTTGTGTTACAGTAATTACGGTTGTGTGTTTGTGTTTGTGTGTTTTTTTCTTCGTGTATATGTGTACGCATATCGATATAATATTAGATGTAATCTTTTACGCTCGATTTATCAAACTACCAGAGCTCTTATATTACATGGTATCGTGATTACATTGTGAGACGACTTGTATCATTTATCTTTTCGACGTTAATAGTAGTTAACACGATTTTCTTTCATTTAACGGTTTAATTTTGACGTTGATATTAAATTCTCGTGTATTATACCCGAGTTTCTCTTCATCCTCTTATAACGATTACAGCGATAATTGTCGTCCGTTGGTCAAAATATACATGTACAGCGTATCATACAAAAGGAATGGTAGTGTAACCAGCCATGCAGCATGTCGTCGTCGCCGTTAGATATTGTCCGAAGCGAACTAAACAACTAAACGATCTTTAAATACATATTTACATCCGAGGAAAGTACACTGATCGTCGTCGTTAGAAACTCGTCTTTCCCATATTCTTTTCTCAATTCAGAATTTAAAATCTTTCATGATTGTTCGTTGATATATTTCCTTCGAACTAACATACGAGTAAGTTTATCAAAATCGTTATCTATGTGGATTGAGTCTTCCTTTGACCGTGTTTCCATTCGTTTACTAGATTGTTACATATCAAAATGGCCTTTCTATGCGTATACAGGACATTTTAAACAAATTTTATATCATAACAAATCAATAAATTCAATCCTCTTTTAGGAAAAATGAAGTGAGTGAAAATTACATATTTGCTAAGTTGTGAATTAATTTACTTATCGATGAATCGTTTATGTAGTCGTTTTCTTTACACTTTAAGCTTTAAATCGATACATTACCATTTTGTGATACTTTTATCTCATCAAGGGTTTGAAATCGACCATTTGATATGCAACAATTTAATAGAAAGGTTGATAACAGTATATTAGTATGATTTATGAAATTAGGAAGAGAATCGTACGGCCTTCGTTTATATCATTTCCTGAATAAATGATTTTGAGTTCGTATACAGTCGCAATGTCACGTCAGGAACACGTCACACATTCTAGTGATTGTTCGTACAGTTTACGCACATAGAATACCTATTTTGTACAAAATCTTGATAACGACAGGTAAAAACGTAGAGCATGATTCAGATTGGACGTTTCAGTCAAGGAAATGAATACGATGACATGTCAATGTATTGTACGTACATCATTAACACGTTCGCTACCGATATTAGAAATGAGATCATTACAATAAGAAAAATAAGGTTAAAGAATGTTCAATTAATAAGAGGCGGTAGGGAACGTGTTAATTAACCCTTCTTCAGATTATGGGGATCACTATGGTCCTCCAAAATTTGTAACTAAATGCAGGGTTAAAATAATTGTTTTTAACAATAGTACACAATGACTTTATTCGTGAATATTTCGATTGGTACTGATTCGATGCACGATACGAGAAGTTTGTAAAATGGCGTGTAGGTCGAGGTGAATACTAATCCACAGGATGCAACCACATATTCGGTACGCCACGCTCCTTGATTTACCTATTGAAAATGTAGACCGAAATATACTGGAAAAATATATTCGCTCTTTCAGTCAGGTTTTCAGCCTGTTAAAAACTCTTCCTCCACTGAATATAATTCGTTAGCGTTTTTTTCAGTAGCACGTAGCTTGTCACTGTTTATGCGGTTATCGTGCGCAAAATATCATCAACAGTGTTTCAAACTAAACATTTGTTGCATTTTCGAAAAGTTGTTTCATCGAAATTAGGATCCTACTGGCAGAATGGAACAGACAGTTCAGGATGGTAGTGGTCAGAAACTTTTTCAATTTAATAAAAAATCATAATTTTAGAATTCTAGTGGCAGAAATTTTCTCAATTTCAACATTCATACGAGCTGATTGCTTGTTTCATGGACGCTGAAGAGAATTTATTTAACACGTCTGTTAAATTGAAACCTCTATAGCACTCGGCGTGCCAAAAATTACATTAGTACCCGTGTGAGATGAATTAATATATTTATTCGCAACTCGGTGTATTAATTATACAAATGATAATTCAATGATAAGAGCTCTCATAAACGGATAAAATATTTCATTGAAATATTTTTTTACGCCGTTCAACGATTCTGGTTCATCGCTGTTTTCGATTTTTATTCCGCAACAGGGCTATCCTCAATTTTTCTCACGGACATCGGGGGAAAATTTATCGAGTGCAGCGTGATGCATTTAAACGTAAATTGCAGCTGCACTCTGCGTCCAATCTACTTTTTTATCTGATTACCGACATTGTAAATTGAAATCTTGCGCATTCGTAAACAACCACGCGTTACTGATGAAATGTGCGCGACAAACATATGACGATAAAATTGCTGTTGCCGCTCATCACGAGAAATTTGCATATCGGTTGTATTTTCCGTTACTTCTGTTCACATTTTTTCTACGTTCCAAAACGGGTTCATTAATCACTCAAGAACAGGATCTTTATTCGAGAATTCTAAATTGCTGACTTTGTATAAAAATAAAAGTACACACGTTTCCCAATAAATTATGCCAATAAAATGAAGCAGTTCGAATTAACTCTAGTTAAATCTTCGAACTGTAAAAATTGATTTTTTCTTCGCCTGTTTGATAATCATCCATTTAAAAGTCAAATTTTGCAAAATACAACGAAGCATATGATCGATCACGAGTTTTCATTAATAATCGTCCGGCTGTATAAATATACGTGTTTATACGACGAAGCGCATGACCGAGTTACTCGTTCGACGCTGCAATTTTCGAATTAATCGCCAATTAATGTGCAACAAGGCTACATTCGTTTACCGGGAAGCTAACTAAAAATATGAGATCGTTCAGTTTATTGCTGTTTTTATGGCACGTAAGTAGATTAAACCTGATATAATCAGGGTGTGTGCAATAAAAGTAACCGTGTAATATCTATTTCACGAGGGTAACGTACGTTCGTGTCAACACTTAATTACAATGATTTAATTATGATTTTTATTTCACGATTTGAAGAAAATATTCGTAAAAATAACGTCGAATGAGATATTCTTAATTATTTTTTCTTACTAACTTTATTGAAACGAATTGCCAGGAAGACGCGAAGTTGGAAAAACGATCATTAAATCTGTCTCGCGTTCATTATCCCAGCTGGTTCGTCGTCTATCATAATAGTGAATCCGCGGGTTTTTTTTTGTCGGTACGATTTATAATTATTTTTTCAACTGGTAACAAAAGAGACGAATATATTTCTTTGCCGGTGTACGTACGTTTCTCTGGAATAAATGACACGGCGAGCGTGATGTAGGGCCACGGTCGTTAAGCAAGACGAGCGTTATCTTTCTCGTCACGGACAGACGTCTTCTCATTTTCCTGCCTTCCTCTTTCCCACCTTTGCCCCATCTTCCCTTTGTGCGATGTAAAATACATTTTCGAATCCGTTTCGTTTCCAGCTCGCTTTTAATCTGGGTCGCTTACTTGCCGTTTCAACTTTCATTAAAGGAAGAACAAATACACTCTATCAATAGCTATCAAATGTAAGATAAAATTATTTTCTAATCAAATTTCAATCATGTACGTGTCATCGAAAGATTCTTCATCGGTGGTTGACAAAAATAACCATTCAATCAAAAATCAATCAATAACAGTGGCATCGAACGTTATCTTTGTTTATCCAGACAAAACTCTCCCCTCGGTATTATTTCCTCTTTTTCCGCTACTCTCGGTCACTTCTTTTTCCTTCTAGTATTTATCATCAACAAGAATAAACGTTATTTTTAGTGTCAGCCGGTTCGACCACGGGAATAACAATCTGGACGCTTTCAATATAACCCGAGAAGCTGTTCCCGGCTGGAGGTTGGAAATTACGCGGCCACAAAACTTTGGATACGTTTGTATGATACACGAGAGTTTATATAATTGTGGTCTGACCATTTCTCTAGCGGCTGGCAGGAATGATTAAAACAGTCCCTATTCATAATTCAACACGAGGAATTCCTATGAATTTTTAATGCAACGTTTGCAAAAGCAGCGACCACGTTGACCGTGGTTAAATGAAGACACACCGAAAGTATCTTTTCCTTTGGACGGACGTCTTTTCACGTAGTTGTTCTTTTATCCTTCTTTCTTTTTTTTTCTTTCAAATGTGTATCTTCATTTACGCGAGCACATATTCATATTTTCTCTCGCTGTATAACGATGCGCTCGTTAGAGAGTTCGACGTCAAAGAGCAAATATGTTTTTATTGTAATTTCAGCAACACGGATATCTAGTTTTGAATTAAAGCGAGTTTCCCGAATGCGAAATGGAAGGAAAATATCTGTGGTTGATACTGTTTCCGCGATGTAAAAATGAAACGTGAGTAATTTCCTTTTTTTTTCCAATGGAAGCTGAAACAACGAGGGTATTTTGCCAATTTTAATGATAAAAGTTTAAATGAAATATCGGACGATAATTCGGATTTGTTTAGGAAAAAAAGGGAGATTCGCTAATGCGTGAATGGGAAATGCGAATTTCTGTGGGGATGGACGAGTGCAGTATGCAATGCAGACGCTTCCGCGCGAGGGTTGTGGATGGAGAACCTCGGCGTGAACATTATGCGGTGCACCTCGCGTTTAGCTTGATAAATGGCGGCGAAGCAGCGGCGAATGCCGGCGTTGTTGCAGCCGCCACCACCGTCTTTGCCCTTGTTTCCCCCTTTTTTTTTCTCTCGTTTGTTTCGCGCGTACTTTTTTCCTCTCTTCCTTCCTTCCTCTTTTTTGCGGCAAAGTCGGCCGATTTTCAAGGGGGAAAAAAATTCAGCGCAATCGCACGACTGGAGAGGCGCGGAAGCGTGCGAAACGCGCCGGAAAGAAGCTACCGTTTATTTTCCGGGATTTTCAGAATCATTACTGTTAGTATCAAACAGAAACTGCTGGGAAATTTTATTAGAAATTTAAACATTCAACAGTTGTTCGAAATATTGCAGTTTCATGGTGCACCATTTTTCGAAACTTTTCCTTCGACTTCAGTTCTGAAAGTTTTATTAATCGCCACAGAAGTAGCTATCGCCGCAAATCGATATTAACTTTCGCAACTTCCGGCATGCTGCAAGTTTTGAAATTCGAGTTACATGGTGTTCGATGCTGGCCGACATCGAACCGAGTTTCCGCTTCTGCGGTGAACCTTTCCATGAAATTGATCGATATCATCAAACATTCATTTCTTTGAAAGATAATAACTAATGGAGAAGACACAGAGAGAATCGTAAAAAAATTTATAATTTTTAATCGGCGGAGGATCGTCAGCTTTTAGTAATAAAAGGATCCTTTTCTCAGGCTGTTACGTCCATTAAATTCCCATTAAATTTAATGCAATTCCTGTCGAAGAAGTTATTTGCATCGAATTTATTACTCCTTGTTTGTGTCACAAACGAACTTCCTTCAATGGAGCTTTCTTAAGACGGTGGCATTTCCAATTTATTTTGCATTTCTTTCAGAATCCTCGTCCGGATTGTTCGTTTTTAAAATGATAAAAGAAAAGTCTTTTACCAAAGGGTCGGTATAAAATTTTAAATCCGCACGGTGTGCGAGTTGAATTTCATACGTGACTATTGTGCTTCGTATTGCGATATTGTGCATTCAATTGGAATAATTGATTGAACGCTGGAGGGAAAAATACATTCGATGCAAACAGCGCAGCGTTTAAAAAAATCACGTAACCCGTGACAGATATTGATTCAGCAAACTTCACATTTTGACATTTACATTTCGAAATACAACGGTAATTGACCTTTGATTAAACGTTTTAAGCTTGTTTGATGACAATGACAACTTCTCTAATAGATTCTATCAGGGGACTTTGTGGAAACATTTACGTGACATGAACATCGGGGCTGTTTCAGAAACGACGTGGATTATGATGGATCTCATTATAGTGAACTACGTTTTGAAATCCAAGTTTCACGATACTTCACGAATAATTGGCTCACGAAAAGAGTAAATTATAAAAGTTCGTTTCGTCGTTTAAACAAACTTAGTTGATCGATTAAACAAACATGTTTTACACGTTCGATCGAATGTTCTTTTTTACTTTCAATATTTTTCATTTTCCACTTTCGGAATGAAAATAGTATTTTTTATTCTATTCCGAGGGGATTCTATTGGGAATTTTTTCAATCCAGAACGAAGGGGAATAACGAATAGAATAATTTTTTCGCCGGAATATTGTTGAAGCTTGTTATTATTAAACTTCGGAACAAATAACTTCGACATAAACGTTCTTGTCGATTATTGGAAAAAGACTGACACGATATTGATAAGTTTTGTGTTCCCGTGTAAAAATTTGATGAACTGTTGCGTATTTTCAATTTCCCTTTGGTAATATTCGTAACAACGCGAATTACAATATATTGTAGGAAATCGTGATTAAACATAGCAATATTTAACAATAAAATGGAATGAATTGTTTTATACGATAAAATATTTCTTCTGCCACTAGTATCCATTGGAATAATAATTTCTCGCGTCGAGCATTTATCAATTTTTCAAAATATTTCTTAGAAAATGATGTGCATTTCCCAAAAATTAAAAAAGTTTCAAATATTTCAAACGATGGTGACCGTACCAAATTGAATTGTATATCTGACTTCGTTTCTTTCACACATTATTTCATAACTTACAATTCGTATAGAGTTTGATAAAAGACAAGAGAGCGAGAATGACCCATGAGAAACGATCGAACACCGGATGTTGATAAAAGAACGAAAAAGCGCGTATATTTTTTAGAAAAAGTCTCCGACTGGGAGTACAGCACCCTGTCACTCCAATGGGGCACTCATATTTTAAATTTCTACTATTTTCTCAGTAAGATATCAAAATAGTAGCAAGGGGATGACGCAAAGTATTAAAAATTTTCTGAAAGGAAAAAAATACATGCTCCTAACGGAGCGACAGAATACCGTGACTGTACTTACACACCTACGATTCTTCTCGACAGCAGCGTTTCCGTTTTCACGCGAAAGAGATCACGATTTTGTTATTTTCGTCGATAGAGTATCTTTGCTTAACGATGATTAAAGTTCCGGAAGTGAGTGGCGCGAAATTCAAGCACAGGCTCGCTTGTCGTTTCCGGTTGTATTGGTCTTTAACGGATGCCAATCGACGTATCAAGAACCGTGTCGATGAAAATTTCACTTTTCCTTCTCACTCTTTCCCTACCCTTTCGAAGGCTGTTTGTCTTCCTGTTCCGTTCGCAGACATTCCAACAGGGTTGGCTGAATAATTGCGGAGGAAAGACGATCCTTTGTATTCTGATCCTCGCTTTTGTCCCGATGGTTTGTTCCGTTCCTCCGTCTGCCGCCATCTCAATTTCCGTCCCGACATGGCACGGGGCTTAATCGTTTCGCGAACCGTCGCGTTGTTCGTCGGCTTTCGAGTTGCGCGTCGCGTGTTCAGCAACGATTACGATCAGTCACTTTGTTGCTGAACCCCATGCAGCTTTTCCCCTTTTTCCCCTCTTCATGGTGTTACGCTCGCAGGCATCCGGCCGCTTTTCACGCGCGTCGCGAAACGATAACGCGTCACTACACCAGCCGTCATTTCCGGTTGCACGAACGCGAGTACTTTCTTCGACAGTTGTCCCCGATCACCGTTTCTCACCGTTTACGACCGGCAAAAGGAACAGTAGTCCAGAAGTGTAAACGGTTAGTAAAGCAGCAGACACAAACAGAGCAGAAGGGAGTAGAGCCTCGGTTGCTTGGCTTGACCGCCATGCTGCATTGCCGCGGGATACTCTCCTGAAACAAAGGATAACACTTAAATTTTCCGAAGGCATTGTTTGCTATCGTTCAGCCGAGCTAATTAAGACGGCTAATCGACTTTATTACAGGACGTTAAAAATTAGAATCTCGTGGGTGACTTTGAGGCTGACATTTGGGTGCAAAGGGTAAGCGTAGGAGAAGTCTAATTATTGTGGGGGTTGTGAGCGGAGCGTGGCGTTCCCGCTGGCATCCTATATTATCTTCGATCTCAGGTCAACCCAGCGCCATCGTGAAATTATATACAGGTATATTTTTCAAAAGAATAATTAAGTACACGACGTTGAAGAGAATGTGAAATATAGAAATTCGCAAATCACTCACCGTTGAGTACGTGAACGGTGATAGACTTTGGTTGAGCGTTGCTTGGATTACAAGTATATCGGCCGGAGTCCGATGGTTTCGCTTCCTGTACCAACAGGAAGCTAGTGGTCGTGTCACCCTTCTCGGTGACCACGGATACGCCACCTCTGGTCGAGTCGTAGCTGATTATCTGCAACAAAGAACGGAAGGATGCTTTCAGTGAACAGTTGTGCTTCGAAACTGTTCAAGTCTGACGAGAAATAAGAAACAGGATCTTCGTAACGACTTTCCTCCCTTTTATTCAGCGGATGAACCAGCCAAGAATGAAGGAAGATAAGCTCTTGGGAGTACACGGCGACAATATTAATTCTTCTTCTACGGTGTAAGTAGAAATAAGGATAGTCAGGTACTTCTTCTACATTTTTTTGTAATTAAAAAATTGAAGTTGCATGAGACTGTACATAAAGATTGAAAAAGGGTAACAAAAACGTGCTACGATACACACTGTAGACTTATGTAAAGGTTCTGTTTATCTTGTTCCAGTTGAAGTTACTCGCGAGTGTTTCTTTAACAGGGGTTACAAGGGTTGACGTTCGTTTGTGAGGCTGAGAGAAGTAGAGCTGTCGTGAGAGCCGAGACGAATTTCTAAATAAATCATCCGAAACTCGAGCCTTCGGTGCGTTGTTCTCGTACCCCGTTTTAGAAATATCTGCAGGGGGTATTCTTCAAGGAATACCTTGAAACTTGTCTTCAAGTTATGACCAAAAGAATTGCTATAAAAAATTTCATTATCGAAAGGTAATAATTCAAGGCCTAATGATTTGTATCACTTACGGATCCACATATAAGTAGAACAGGTAAACAATAAAACTGGCATACACTGTCTGAGTTGAACATTTTAGAGTTCATTAACTAATTGCTATAAAAAATTTCATTATCGAAAGGTAATAATTCAAGGCCTAGTGATTTGTATCACTTACGGATCCACATCTAAGTAGAACAGGTAAACAATAAAACTGGCATGCACTGTCTGAGTTGAACATTTTAGAGTTCATTAACTAATTGCTATAAAAAATGTCATTATCGAAAGGTAATAATTCAAGGCCTAATGATTTGTATCACTTACGGATCCACATATAAGTAGAACAGGTAAACAATAAAACTGGCATACACTGTCCGAGTTGAACATTTTAGAGTTCATTAACTAAATGTGAAAATGCAATTTTCGGACGAAAAAATTCTAACTGGCGTGTTCGATACGCCACTAATATCTCCACGCCACTAGTATCACTAATATCTCTGTACATGTATGTTACACCTCCGTTTCGCACTACAAAATTAATTACTCGATGTACAGAATGAAAAATCCTGATGAAATATGCAGCCACGAAGATGTTAAGAAGATTTCCTTCGAGAAAAAGAATTTCGCCGAAGTGCTTCGGTATCAGGTGGAACTTTTGAAATTAAAAACACGAAGTGAGCGCGAGAGAACTTCAAAGGAGAACATAGAATAATGCATACCACCGAACAACGGTACCTAAAGAAGTTCACTAACTCTTCTTCCAATATAAAAGTATTTTGAATCTGAAACCTATGAAAACAAGTTGAGGAAGAACTCGTAAAAACGATACGACTCGTTCTCCAATAAGACATGAAAATGGCACGAGAAAAATCATAAAAGAGGGACGAAATGGTGGAGATTGGTCAAAGAGGAGGTCAAAATTTTACACCGTCAGATTTCCAAGTTCTCTATTCGATGTCGGCGAGGAGAATGCGGTGCGATTCAACGAACCAGATAATTTTCTCTGCATCGTGGAGTCGGTAATTCGGGCAAGTTTTAAACGCGTGCGGAACGAGAGAGTTGGTATGACCCCGAAAAGAGAAAATGGAAATGGGAAGGAAGCGAGGAGAGTCTCGTCAGCCTCATTACGCGTTCATAGGAGAAATCGAGATCCCACGGGATCCTCGACAAATCCGATGGAACATCTTGGACTCAATGGTCCATTGGAATGCTTTCCACCCAGCACATTACTACTTTTGTCTTATCAGTCTTCTCCCGTGCCCTGATAACGACTCCCTTGTCCCCCATTCTTTCTACATTTTTCTTTTTCCTCCCCTTCGTCTCTCCTCTTGTCGCTTCGTCGTGCGACCTTTGCCCCGCAGCTACCATCTTAATTTATCTACTTCATTTAAATCGATAGCCTTTCAAGCTTTGATTGAATCCTTCAGGATCACTCGAACGATTCTCTTTATTACACCGACTCGATTTAGAGACACGGAAAACTCGCTACTCGAACTTCAATTTATCTCAACGGATATCAACGAGGTATTCGACTTAATTCTTGCGGTTCTTAATGAATAGGACCAGGATAATATTGAGAAAGTTATAAGAGCGTGAGAAAGTATTAGGATTCTTAAATATTGTTTCAATTTGTTGTAGCACTTGAATCATTTACATTTAGAATATTCTTTTTTCTTTATCCGAATTCACTATAATAACATCGAGTAAGGAATAATGAAATTTATGTGCAAAAGGGGATTTTGATAGCACGACAGCCTCGCAAGATGTCATCTAAATTTCCATCCCAGAAATTGTATGAAACATCCAGAGCGAAAGTGCAAACAGCGAAAACAAGGCGTTTCCTTCGTCCGGTGTGCTGTTTCATTTTCCACAAAACATAGTTCTAGTTTCGTGGTCCAATTGTTTCCTCATTTGTTGGGGGTCGACGGAGATACAAGCTGTTCGCCGCTGCAACGCGAGATTGGCTTTTATTTCGCGATTTCTCACCAGCCTCATCGTTCCCGTTTGAAAAGTTAAAAAAAAAAAGAAAAAATACGGTGTTTCCATAAAATCGATGTTATCCGCTAATATTATTACTGGTGCACAAAGTTCTCGTTACACCTTTGTGCCCGTGCCCTGGCAATGTTTCTGTGTCAGCTGGAAACAAAAGGAACATCAAACACACCGGTGTTCGAATTCATCCAAGAGTCATGGATTTTTTTTTTTTTAATTAAAGAATCATACTCTGTAAAAATTCTGAGATGATTCTTTCGGATTGCTGATATTGTTTTGATAAAAAATTAATGTTGCACTGATGCCCCAGGGGTATGTGGCACGTTTCAAAGAAAACGCTCGGTTAATGACAATTTTTGTAACCTTTCTGTGCCCAACATTTACAATTTTGTAGCTCGATTTTACGTTGACAAGCGCTTTGTTAGAGCGTTAATAAATTGGAGAGCAATAACAGTTTCTTCGTCGCTTGGTTGCAATATTTTCCCGTGGAACGTTTAAGCTCGCCTCGTATTTTCCACTTTTTATTCGACGACTAACAATGTAGTAGTCGTTTTCCACGAAATTTCACGCGATCGCGAGCGTGATCGTCGTTAGATTCTTTTTTCTCTTTCAAACCGAAGTTACATCGTCGAAAGAGAAAGGGAGGAGGGTAACAAAAGGCGATGAAATGTGTCCACCTTTATTTGTCGTGCTCGATGCCGGAAAATAGGACGCTTTCACGCCAAGTCACGCATGAAGATAACACGAGCTTTCGACCTTCCCTCTCGAGGACTAGTTCCGTGCTTTTTTACAGACACCCGAGCCTGAAATTGTATCCGACAGGTAAACAGTTGTAAATAAAGCACGCTGTCGTCGACTGTGTGCCCTGTCCTACAGAAAAAGAATGTTTTTCCTCCGTGTGTTGCTGTGAGTGAGGCGCAATTAACGCTGCTACCAGAGTGTCGCAGAGTAAATACCCTCCTGTTTTTTCACGGAAGTATCGACGAACGGTAGAAGCTTTCAAATTTCTTTTATTCTTGTAAACGATTAAAGTCACGTAAGATTTCACCGCAAAATAAAAGAATTAAGTAAGCGAGTTGATTGTCAAAGCTTCCACATTTTTCTTTTCTTATTCTTGTATAAATGAATAATTTTACAACTACAACATTATTAACGACCGATATAAATGCCTTTCTTTGTAGAATTTTAAATAAATCAGTTTGATTAATGCAAGATTTACCTGTGAATTTTTATTACCAAACCGTCAGTGCATGTAATTCTTCCTTTGTGCAATTTTTTCCTCCTGTTAATGCCTTTAAGGGAATTGCTTATATTTATGCACGGTATCAACGTAAACCAGGAAAAAGAAAATTTTGAATTTACTTATGTAAATGCTTATGAATATTTATGTCGTTTGCATAATCCGAAAGCAAGCACGATATGCTGTTAATGGGAGTAAGGCTTACGTTAACGGTATCGAAAAGTGTCTGGCACGCGAAACTTTCCCGATGAAGGTTACATCCAGTCGAAATCGAAGAAGCTCGAACTTTTATCGTATCGGTTTAAGTTTCGCAAAGTTTGCTGGAACGATGGAACTTAAACGATAAACAAGAACCGATTACGACGAGTGGAAAGTTTGGATTACTTACGCGAAATCAGTGTAATTTTCAATAGGATGCTTTTAATTTTTTATATTGGTAATTCTATCTTTTCGACACTATGTACTTTTATTTATTGTGGACAAATTTTATTTGAAAAAATTTGGGATCTAATTTTATTCAAAACATCATTGCATACCTTTCCTACGTCTGACTTATCGCTGACCCGTCTCCCTATATTCGGGGGTTAATGTATTAATTACGCAAGGTAAACTTATAGCGTGAGTTCGACCCTATTGATCGAGATTTTTGGTTCATTGTTACACACGAAAGTTACAAATCCATGAGATACGCTTTTATTTGGGTCTCTTTAATACCGTGGAAAGCGATTTGGCAGCGTCTTTGCTCTGCCTTTTTGGCAATCGTCCACGATCGCCACATAAATAAAGCGCGATATTCTATATAATTTATCAATTCCTTAATAGGATTTCATGCGATTAAACTGATTGAAAGCATCGAATCGTATTAATTGCTGTATCCGTGATGAAATAAAAGCAGCATTCACAGAATGTTATATCGATTTTCTTTTATTTGTCGATGAAATAAGAGACGTATAATTGGAATACTTCTCAAATATTTGCAGATAAAAAAAAATAAATATTTGAACCATGAAATTCGACGATTTCAAAAGAGTCCAGGTATCCTCTGTCGATGACACACTTTCGAATATTTCCTAAAAACGAAAAAGAACGGTGACCTAAAAAATCACCTAATGAAATGTAACCAGACGAATCGACGAGCACCGCTGCAGTAGTAATGTAGGATATAAAGTAATAAGTAGGAAATTTCAAGAGGAAGATCAGTTAACCTCGAATCCCTTTTAGTCGAAAGGATATCCTTGTGTATCTCCTTGTCTGTAGAAGGCAGAATTTCCTTCTGGAGATTGTGAACTTTCGGTTTCCTAAACAAGGTAATTTATGTTCCCTTGTAAACATAGAAGCGGAAAACTAAATGAAGTTTTATAGCTCCATTTTCTTTCGACCTTACTGTTAGCTGCTATTGGTTCGTCGAGGAGAACACAATGAGTACACGGAAACACTGTATATTTAAAAAGGGAATTTTTAAAACTTTAAGAACTTTGTCAACATTTTCGAAAGTTAGAAAATATTTGGAAAACTTAACGCTTTCGAAAAGTCGAAAATTTCTAATTAAATTAAAGACGATCTTTTCTTATTTAACCCTGGAATAATCTACAAAATTTCGATTCACAGAAACTCTGAATCGACGATCAATTTGAAAAGGTTCCACGTCGACACCAGCGAGCTGAATCTCGACACGTAAAAATATCGAGGAAAGAAAGGAGGCTACACGAGACACGTCTGGTTTCGTTGGGATCGGGTGAAAAGGCAACCGGCAAATTGTTAAGTCAATTTAATTGCAAGCAACCTGGTCTTCTCTATTTACAAACGCGTATGTACAGAGAAATATACGCTCGGATGTGGCATCACACACGTACGCGGCCTCGCTGCACAGAGACAAATCCTCAGATATACAGCCGGGGCAACCTCTCGACAAAACACACGTTCCTGGTTGCACGTGGATGGAACAGAGAGACACCGTCTCGAAATTCAATCGAAATCAAAGGGATGAGGTTTATTGGAGCGTAAGAGGAAACCCCAGCGAACTCCGAGGATTCCTTGCGGCTGGAAAATGTTTCGTCGCGTGGATCGATCGATCCACCTAGCTTATCATCGAAGGATTGCAATTTCACTTCGTTCCCATGGGACGATTTCAGTTCCCTTCCTTATCGCTCTACCTACAAAACCATCTTCGACGCTAACACCTCCGTCATTTTTTGCCAATCGTTGCATTCGCCTGGAATCGTCACTCTGACTGATGTCCACTTCGTTTTTTTCTTCTGATTTCTATACATTCTTTATATTTTAAATTCAAATAATTAGCGCGGAATTACTGATAGCAATGGAAACCGTAATACGCAGATGGTGAAGCAGATTCAAAGACAAATTAGCCACGATCATCCCTCAGAATGTGGTCAGTTCATGCTGGTAGGTACCCGAAAGTTCTACAATCTTAGCGTTATTCCTTAATTGCTCAGGTTATCTAGATTTAATTACAAAATTCCAGTTAAATCACTGCTAGAGGGTAAGATTCTATCCCATTGTTTCTTCGAACCGTTTCGAAATGGAAATTATTTTATTTTAATCCGAATGAATTAAAATTGCGGCAATTTATTAAGGAAAGGAACTCGTGAACTGTAAATTCATTCGAAGACACGCGTGCATGTGCGGAGGTGCACATTACCGTTCGCAAAGGATATTTATACGAATATCTGGGAAGGCAACCAAGGCTCGTTAGAATGAATGCATGGTCCTACTATCGTTTTGCAAATTACCACGGTCCCCGTTGTCTCGTGAACAGTTGCAAGCCTGTTTCGCCTTCATGCGTTAATCATGCACCGGTGGAATTCATCTTAAAGCTTACAGCTTCCGCTCGCTAGCGAATCCCGTAGTTGTTGGCCAGACTTAATGAGTCTAATGGTGTCTCACAAGCACCATTATCAGTTGCACACCGTTCAGGATATAACGGTTCGTAACGTCAACGTTATCGAAATTTATTGCACCTTCGTTGGCAAACGGTCGACCGTGTGCTAATTGTTTTATAGACTTCTCTACTTGAATAGATATGATGTGGTAATTGTTTCTGATTTCGCGGGGTATGTCACCCTCTACGTAAAAGAAAAATAATAGCTAGATAGCGGTGGAGAAAAATCACGTATAATCATCCTTTGAAACTTTCTATCGATAGTTTAGTTGCGTTCAGTAGATCAGCACGAAGTAATGGAAGTTGCAGACAGGATATAAAAGGGAGAAAAAAGAAAAACGAACCGGAGGGGAGGAGGAAGCAAATTAATCCCGAGCGAGGAACGGATTTCAGACGACGTCGAAAATTCTAAAGTAACTTCGTTAAAGCAGAAACTGAAAATTCACTTTACTCCCGCTCAGGATGGGAGTTTCAAGATATCAGCCGGCAGCAAGGCTCTCAAGAGTTATTATCACCATCAATTATCCTCGCGCAAAGTTGACATCGGTGCAAGCCGTCCCGGTTATAAATTACAGTTTCGCGATGTCTTCGTATTTGCTCTTGTTCTTGAATTATGAACGCGGTGCGTTTTGTTGGGCATGTTTTCGCCTTCGTGAAAAAAAAAAAAATAGTATACTCACAGCATCGTTATGGTTCCAAAATATGTAGGCTGGAGGTTCTGGACTTTGCAGGACTACGCACGTTAGGTTGATCGTGCTGCCTCGGTTAATGTACAAATCCGGAGCACCCAGGATCTCCGTTTTCGGTTCTGAAAAATACAAATTTTCATCGCATTTATCTATCAGTTTTGTATAGTCTTCGAATTTTTTTCAAATAACCAATAACCCTTCTACATATTTATCAGGTGGAAAAATGCTGGCCAGGCCGATATTTATAGTCGATTCGGTTCGCCGAACCGTTTTGTGTCCTTTCGAGGAACCGAAGAGCGATGCGGTTGACCTGGCCCTTGTACGCAGCTCGAAAGAGCACTTTGAAGTGGCTCATATGTAGTATCCGGCGTGTTGTGTATCGTCAAAGAGAAAAAGAGACACGGAAACAGTTGGATCTCTGATGGTCGAGAGTAAGCGAGACAGCTAGAAGGAGGAAGAGGTCGGTAAAGGTTAGCGAGGAAGAGAAGAAGATAGTCGAACGGGGATGAAGGGAAAAAGAGTTTTGGCTAGGGTGAACGAATCTGTACGGTTGTGTAAAAGCGATGCGTGTGTACATGTGCGAGCGTATGGTGCACAACGTAGAAAGATAGGGAAGAGGTCACTCGGTATAGATCGATGTGAATATTTTCCGGACGGCCTCCTCTTCGGGGATTGACCGAAATAACCGGGCACCGTACTTTACGGCTTTGTGCAGTAGATGATATCAGAGATAGTTATGACCCCTTCACGGCAACCTTTCCTTCCATTTTCTTACCTCCATGATGCTTCTTCCTTTATTTTAAAATTTCAAATAATATATGCAAGTATGTCAAAAATGTACATTTTAATCTTTATCTTTACCACGTTCTTTTTGGAATCTTTCATTTGATGTTTCTACCATCGTTTTTGTTCGATATTTTCGCGAGCGGCCATGTCGTTGATCCGGGGTCGTAGCAAAAGCTGGGCACGTTTATCGTGGTTTAAGAGAACACCTTTGAATCGAACATTGTTCGACGTTGCACGCCGTTTTTATTATTCACGGAGTCGTACGCTTCTCCCATCCCGCTTTGTCATCGTTTAAGCTCTCGGATTGCAAAAGAAAACTGAACCGGTATTTCCGTCTGTCGGTACGCTACAAAGCTTCCAAATATAACATCATATTTTTATTCTCCTCTACAATAAAAAATGTTATTATATTTACTATTCACCTTTGCAATATAAATCTTTTTTACGATCAAGGTTTAAAATATATAGAAGTTGATGAATAAAAAAATTTTTTCGAACAACAATTTTTCAGTTTACTATTTTTATTCTCCGATTTTCGCTCGTTCGTCCTGTTTTCATTTTGATCACAGATTTTTTTTCTCCTTTAATTTCGCCCGACCTTTCCTCGACGAAATCACTTGTCCGGGATATAGCGAAAGCTGATCGATATCAGGGATATACGCGAAACGCTTTAACGTTGGTTAACCGCAAATGAGAGGCGAACTGGTCGGACGACGCCGTCCGCGTGGATTCGAATCACGTATTGGCCCTCGTACACGATTTTAGTCCGGTACTTTGAAAAAGGTGTACCCATCCCCTTAAAATTCTAATTAGTGGACTAAGAGTGCCCTTACTCGACCGAACTGTACGTAGCAACGAGAGGTTGGACACTTCTGATTCGTCCTTCAGCTTGTTAGAAAGAAGTGTCGACGAGAGAAACTGATTGGATTTTCAATACTCGAATTCTAAGTATCATCGTTGAAGTTCATATCGTTGATTGAATTTATTAGTGATCTATGAAAAATTGGGCTGTCGATATAGCGTACCGATGTCTGACCAATATGATTTATACTACTTGGAAGTGTCTTCAATTCCTTCTCTCTTAGTGTGGTAACGATATTGACCATACTATGTAAAGATATTTCATTTTAATGTACACAAATGTATCGGAAAGCTTTGATGCATGAATATTAGTAGAGACACGGGTCTTTTGTTTGGGCTCCATTGATACAAATCTAGATAGAGCATTAATCTTCCGGTGACACTGAATAATCTGCTATAATACAATGGTATTGTAGTCAATATTGGCACACACGAAATATGGACCAGCTCCATTCGAGAGAAATCATTCCGACTTACTATATAAATTTCAATGGCTTCGTAGCAGTATTTCTCTTTGATGTAATGTGAGAAAATGTATTACAGAATCTGTATAGTTCAATTAAAATACATCAGCTCTGAATTTCTTGCAAAAATTTTAAAGAAATATCAAAGGATATATATAACTAAAATGAAGATGCAAACTATATATCACAGGAATTTCCGTCAATTAAATAAAGAAGATGTTGGAATAGTGTTGACTATCAATGGTAGAATTTCAATGGTGTTCGATCGAGGCAGAGGCATCATTGATCCCTGTGTCGTCAATCGTACGGTGTTACGCTTTTGTACTTAGGGATGCTATTTGTTGAGGAGTCCACAAAGCGTACTTGCTTGCTTCGTTGTTGACACTCGACCTAAATAAAGCACCGTCCACAATGACCTGATACCTTTAGCAAGAACAGACTTTCTAGGAGTCACATGGAGGGGATTGGACACAGAGAAATGGACAGATAGATCATAGAGAGAATAAATCGAAAATGTAAATTGCACTAAATTAAAGCGATTATGTAATGAATAATGATCCAAAATATAAGAGTCGTGTCATTACATTAATTGGAAGCAAAACGATGCTTCTATAATCCCACCTGTTGTTGTCTTTGCTTAATTAACATGGCATTAATTTCGTACGCGTTGAATTAATGCAGAGTTTATCGAGTTTGTTACACGACAGCTACTGATGAAAATAATGTCGCGCATACGTAAATCCGATATGTGTAAATCATTTGCAATTAATTAATTAAATGAATATCGTGATATTACATTGCTCAAAGGGCTGAAACGTTGATTTGTTATGGGTAATAAATACTCATTAATTAAGAATTGAAAATAATTTAAAAATGGGAACAACCAACATTAATCTGGAATACAGCAACAACAACAGAGTCATAAATTTTTAAAAGAAACTTCCACAGCACTCGTTAAACCAAATTTCCCAGAAGATGCAGTTACCCCTATCTCTTCCTTAAAATATTCCGTCAGTGTATCACGACGTAAACAAAGAAACATTCTCAACTAGGAGGTTCGAATAAAATTTATTATCTACAAGAGGACGAAGGAATATCTTCTAGAAAGCTCATTCGTTTCGGCAAAGTGGGTCGCTAGGAAGGTTTCTTGGAAGGACAAAACGATTCGAGACAAACTATGAACTACCGAGTTTACATTTGAGAATCGTAAACGTTCTCGCACGTGAGGTTGTTGCAATGATTTCTCGTCAGACTCTGCGAACAGAATGCAAAAGCTTTTCTTTGCCTTTGCTACCAGCTCGACCGTAAACTTTCGCAATTCTTTTCATCGTCCGTGTTGAAGCTTCTTTTAACTCGGAGAAGAGTTTTAGTTATCTAAGAATATTTTATGCAGATTAATTTCGTGTACTCGCCCGGGGCGCTAGAATAACTGTCCCAAAGGCATCGAACTGCCCCGGATTTGCCTACCCTTTCGTCAAATATCGAAAGGGGAATCTATTACTCGACGAAGTTCCGTCGAGAATTGTACATAGAAACGTCGATTATTGGAAACTGCTAAGGGGATCTGTCCCCTTTGGACGACTAAAGTTTCTGATAATCGATAACCCTAGATAAATAGACTGTACGATACATTGAACTGATGGTAATCAGAGATTCATTGAAGAAATAAACCAGAGCAATGAGTTCAAAATTGCACTACTCGAGACTGTTTAAGTCAACTAATTAGAAATCTCACGATACTACAACGAAAGTGCTACTTGAACGCAACTAACAGTTAGAAAGGTACAATTACTGTTGCATGTAAATTTCAACTTCTGAACTTTTCTCAGCTAATATACATTTCCTTGTGGTTAATTTCTTAAATTATTACTCACTGGCGAAATCGAGATTCGTTTCATTTTACGTTCTCGACGACCGAGAAACGAAATGGATACTTGGTTTTACGTTCGAAAGATAGTTTGCTTATCGTCGTAGTTCGAGCATCGCTATTTCGAGGCGACGTTCCCCACGGTCGACAGTTTTTCGCTTGGACGAGCCGAATTTTCAACGCGAAGAGGCAGCTCCTAGACGCTCCGCGAAGCGCGAACGACTGCGATGAAACGAAATTATACATTCGCGTCGATATTCTTCAGCATGGTTTCATGGAAACAAGCTGCGAAGTGTATCTATGTAGGTTTCACATACGTATCGCGGCAAACCACTTATCGTGATTATTCCTCACGTGGTTTGTTTTCCCGAGAAAGTTCTAACATTTTCGCGAGATTAAAAACGGATAGCAAAATTGGATTCTTAAGATCGTTAATTGGAGCTCCAAATTTTTAAATTTAAAATATGCAGATTGCATTTTAAGGTGTTAATAAATAAAAGATAACTAAAGCTAAATAAATAAATAAATAACAATACACAGAATTAAGAATCCAGGCGTTTAGAAAGTACAATACCCATGGATAAAAAGTTGCTAAAAAACGAACTTCCACCGAGGCTGTTGAAAAATAATATTCCGCAGCCCCGTTGGTCGTCCTAAATTCTGCTACACGGTTTTCGTCGTTCTAGCAACGACCGTTGCAAAAGATAACGTTCGTCATTTAATGCTAAAAGCTTGGCTATCATTTTCCTATCGTTACTTCATCTCTTATTTCTATGCTCAATTTCTTTGTGCTCGTTGCGTTTTCGTATATTCTTTTCTAGTTTCGTTTCTCTATCGAAAAGTATCCATTTCCAAGCGCCTTCTATTTTCTAGTAAATTGTAAATATCATGGATGGGCGGGAACGAGAAATTGTGTTCGAATAGGGTTGCTTACAGTCAAAAGGTTCGACCTTACATATGGAAATAAGACCATCCCGATATACCGGGAATGGTTGTATTTCAGGAAATTGAAATTTGTTCGTCCTCCCTTTATCGAATCAAAAGATTGAACGTAGCCCCAATTTCGTATGGGTGTGATGTGTAATCTTTGCTGAAAAGTATACGATAAAGGGACGATTTTATAGGTCATTGACACACATCC